TCTGTGAAAAAGAACAAAACTTTGACATGATTTAGCAGTGTTTTTACAGGTTGTTCTGTTTAGGACTTTGTCAGTGTTTCTGCCATGCATGTAGGCACGCATGTATGGTTTTCATGCGTTTCAAGTCGCATAGAACAAGGGCACATACATGGCACAGCAGGAGGGTCGTGTGAGAGGAGTTCCTCAACACGCATGTTCAGCTATCACTGAACCAAATCAGCCTGTTTTCCTCTCTTCCACGACGTTATCCTACAAGTTTTACTTTACTGTTGCTGACCTCTTGTCCCTACTGTAGTCGTAGCTCCATAGTGAAAACCCTTTATTTCACTATGCACGTAAAGTATTTCCCTGACTTACTGTTCTTTTCTGACCTTTGCTTCTGTAGCATGATCTTTATAAGACATTGATTGACTTCCTGCAGTGAACTGAAGCAAGATCATCCATAGCGCAAACTTTTATAATCCAATCGTACCAACATGTTGAAGTCGTCATCTGACACAAGTGATGCTGTTGACGGACAGTTTGTGTAGTTTGCCCTCCTCCAAATTGTGCATATAGTGTCCAGTTCAGCTCCAACACTTCATACTCGCACAAAAGCAAGATCACAGCTATGACACCCCTGCGTATCTCATTCAATTGTAGAGAATAGAGCCAGTGAACCGAATAGCCCCCCAACACTGGCCTCCGCCTGCACCTGCAGGCACAGCTGATGGCAGGGAAGCTGGAAGAAAAAAGGGGGAAGTGATTTTCATCTGTGAAGGTTTAGAGTGTAGAATAAATCTTTATTGGGAAACAAACCCAAACTACCTATCATTCCACAGGTTTCTTTTTGAGATACCAAATTTATAAGCTACTTAAAATCCTTTTAAAATTATCTTTAGGGGAAGCAGGTTAATGGGGGTGAGGAGAGAATCACTGCCCCCCTGCAGGTCATTCAGTCATTCATAAGATGAGGCCGTTTTATAGACCTCCCTCTGCCCACGCTTTTGTTGCTGTTGTGTCACTCAGCGGAAGTGAAAATGGAGATTAAGCATGGTCATACAAAGTCTCACATCCGACTTTTGATGTAAAGAAAAATGTGCGGTGTCTAACTCCCTAACTCTGGTTTGTAGGCCCCTGCTGGATAAGATGAAATCCTAAGGGAAATTTACCCTGATAACCCTAACAGCCTCTATAGATTTTTGGTGTTTACAGGTGTGTCATCTCCTGGACAGAAAACAGCAGCCATCTTTAATCCAGTAAAGAGTACAGGGATTTGGTCGCCACTAGCCTTCCTTAAAGGTCTTTTGGAAACTCGTCGGCCATGAGAATGTGTTGAAGGTGTGGGTAAGGGTTTGTGTAGCTGTGCAGGAGGGGCTGTGGACCGTCTTTGTGAATTTAGTTAATCTAATTTTAGCTCTTTTCCCCTGCGGGCCTTTCTCTCCTTGCTCTTGTTTCAAACCTCAGTCTGAGCAAAGAATGTTTCCTGTGTCTCTGGTGCAAATGAGTTTTGTCCCTTCAATCCATTGTCCCCTATAACCTTTGCATGTTATTGGTGTTAATATTGTAAATGTTCAATGTGCATGGGGTTCATGGTCAATCTTATTTTCTGAAGTGAAATCCATTTTGTAATTGGTGGTTGCACCCAGAGGACAGCATCTGGAGTGAGCATGCTAGGGTTGGTACCTTTGATGCAGACACTAGAACATTAGACACAATTACCTGAAATACAGAGAAAATGCAGGTACTCATTCACACTAAAGTCACTTAATAGATGTGAATGAATTGTGATTGACCAGCCTCCCTGCAGTCCATATTTGTCTTCTATTTATTTGATTTAAACTGTGTACACAGTTAGACAGAGCAGAACATAATTTAGTATCCTCTGTCCCTAAATATTTAATAAAATTATAAATAGATTAAAATGGCATCCCATTTTAATCTATTTATGACCCAGTGTTTAAATTATCTTTGTGTCCTGCAGATGGGAATTTCTAGATTAGTTTGTTTAATAAGTTATAAGTACTTTTTTGACCTTCATTAAGGTCTAAGTTACTTACTTAGTTAATTACTAAACTACACTTTTTTAAAAGTTTTTACCTCATTTAAAAAAGCTTTTTGTAAGTACTTTTAAATTAACAGAAACCTCTCAGTAATTATTGCTTCAGTCTTCACTAATGACTGTCTTTAAAGCAGTTTATGTTAAGTTAATGGAACTCATCAAAGAACCTTAAAGGATGTGAGGGTGTTGAAGGGCTCATAGAATGGAAATGAGCAGCTTGGAAGCTCTCAGTTCCCTCTGAGTTTTCACACCTATGATTAAATCACTGTGGTACTGTTGTACATCAAATGGGTATTAACTCATTAGCGTCTGCTTTTGAAGGCGCTCTTTAGTATCATCAGGGTCTTGTAATCCTTTTTAATGGATCACTGAGTGGCAGGGTGGTTCAACAAAAATGATTAATGTGTCAGACTTTCTCTCCTAATGGTCTTTGTTGTTTTGTAGGAAGACTTTGATTCATTTTGGAACTTCGGCCATAATGATGGTATTGTTCAGTAACTGATAGCAGACCTCTACTTTATCAATCTGCTGCCATCTAGTTGTAAACCCATACCCTGTCTTATCTTGACTTCTCTTCCTCCTCTACTCCCTGTAGCTTACTCTTTTCCTTAGCTTTGTAATTTTAGTGTGTTTCCCCTCTGCCCCCTTCTTTTAACTTAAGGCAGTAGGTGGTGAAGGGCAGGAATGTGACCGTGGGACTGTAAGGATTTATCACACTGAGGTGTGAGGGCTGAATATTGTGCTCCTGTGCCTGCAGATGTAACAGTTTAGTGCCAACAGCATTCCTACCAAGCAGAATTTATTGCTTTTTGGGTTTTATTCTTTAGACCACATACTCCGTGGCTACAGGGTGAGAAACCAGAGGACAAGGGTTGGGGACAGAGGGTGCAGAAGATTACTGTATGTATTTATGTATGTATGTATGTGCAAGTTTTTGTGTAGGCATTTTCAACCACATACATTAACAGGCAGGTTAATGTCCACCTTTCTGCATTTCCCCCCTCCAAGTCTCTCTCTCTCTCTTTCTCTCATTCACTCTCTCTCTAGTTCTGTTGCTCTACCTCTGCTTTCTCTCCCCCGTCTCTCCCCTCCCATTCCTCTTCCACTCCTCTCTCTCTCTCTCTCTCTCCCTTCCTTCTACGCTGGCTCTCAGGTTACGATGACTGGGGGTTTTCTTGCTTCCATCTCGTAGTGTGTGTTTGTGTGTGTGTCCCTCCCTCTCTCTCTCTCTCTCTCTGCTGGGCTCTGTCCTTGTCCCTGCCTCCTGGCAGCGAGGAGCCACCCAGCAGCCGCTCTGTGATTGGGTAGGGGAGTGGGGTTCTTGACACAGTGCGGTGCTGACTGCTCTGGGACATGTTTCAACAGATGGTCGAGGTTAGAGAGTGTCATCACAGTGGAGAGAGGATTAGAAGAGAGAGGTTGTCTTCCAGGAGCTGTGTGGTCCCCCTCACTCTCCAACCCCAAAATCCCAGCACGCACACGCAAACCCCTCAATGAGCGGAGGGAGAGCCGGTGAAGAACCGCAAGGAGAAAACTCAGAAAGGAGTCCAAGCTGTGTCTCTCACTCTGCTCTCCTGCCTTTCAGGTAATACACAAACTTTTATTTCTCTACTTTTCGCAATTTTTACAATCTGACAGCTGATCTGAATCTGATGGGGTATTATTTCAAAAGTAAATTTCTGTCACTGCTTACAGCACAGAGTTAGGTATCTTTAAGTAGGTAGTTGTAGAGCTAATGAGCTTTTCTGTTTCAGTAGTGAGTCTGTTTTCCACTGTACAGCAGCTCTCTGTGAGTGTGTGTGTGTTTGTGAGTGTGTGTGTGTGTGTGCAGGACTTCATACTTTCCCCTTGAATGATAGGAATTCTTTTCATGCAAATTCTTCTGTCTCCAAAGATGAAAAGGCAACACATTCCATTAATGTCATATTTTCCACCATTCCATAAAATCCACCTTTTCATTTACCTTCAGGTGATATGAAAAAAGCTGCTGTCATTCCAGAAGTATGCAATATAACAAGCTGGGCTTATTATAGATGTTACAGTGCAGACACTCCTCAGTGCATCATTTACTGGTTAAACTTAATGTTCACTTCACTTTCTTATCTCTTACACTGAAATATAAACAATGTTTTCTTACATCCCCACATCCCGAAGAGCATTTAACATCCTGTCACCTCAGTCCAGATAAGTTTTTCATAAATCTTACTTGGAGTGCACTTCTGGCAGATTGTGTCAGTGAATGCTGAATAGATGAGCTGCTGGAGGAGCACTTTCCAGACTAACTGTCAGAGCTAACCAGAGACCCGGGGAATGTACACCTCACTTTAGGCTATTTAACTCAAGTCAAGTGAAAAGGGAAACTTGCCAGTAGAGTGGGAATATGATGCATAGTATTTATACCTAGTTTCAGGCACTTTGTCTAGGTGTAAGTGTGTGAGCGCGCGTGTGTGTAAGGTGTTTGCCAATGGAGATTGTGCAGCTGTGAATGACTGTGCAGACAGCGGTCCGGCTGAGTGGAGGTTGTATGGGTTAAAATCTTCTGTTGTGTGTCTTGCTGTTTACCTTGGTAAACCAGTTATTGCTGCACTTCCTTTTTGTTACTTGACGCATTTGAAACACAATTACTAATATTTTCTGATTAAAGGTAAGTGGATATATTTGTAGGAAATTCCTGCCTAATAGAAGATTGATCAGAAAAATATTTGGATTTTTATACCAAGGAATACTACAAGCATAAATTTATTAGCAATTAAAAAGCTGTGACTTTTCATATGATTTGGGCCATGTATGTAGATTACCTTAATGGTTATAAACCCGTAGGTTGAACATAAAAAATATTTTGACTGGATGTGTTTTGAAAGTTTAATAATAGATTTTTGTAAATTATTCATTTAAATAGTTACTTTTGTCTTTAGTCTTATTAGAGAGACTTGATTACCTAACCGCCTTTAAGAAAACTTTTATCATAACTACGCAGACTCACTTAAAATTCAAGTACACTTATTCGACCTGTATAGTGTATAATTTTATCCACAGAGAAAAATGAACAACCCTAACCCCATACTGACAAGCCTCAACCATAAATCCATCCTTGACTTGCGTTTCACCCGGCAGCATTAAGATTGGATTTCTGATTACTCTACCTGGAGCATAGCGAAGCTGCTGTGGGGCACTGACTTCTAGTTGGAGAAGAAGGGACATCCTTTAAACACTTTAGCTCCACTGTATAACAAACGAGGGCGCAAGCAGCTGCTGTGAATAATTAGGTTCTTGGGAGGTAGGAGCTTGCCAAGAAAAACGTTGTTACAGTAGTAGCATTGCCATCGTTTGAATCAACTTTGCGTGTGTTGGTGTTTGTCAAAGTGTGAATGAGGGAAATGCCTTTGTTCTTTGATAGGTATTGAGTGTGTGAGAGCGAAGAGATGAAAGATCAGTGTAATTTACTGGGTGTTACACTAATAACATACTAATAGAACATTGTGATTTCATCTGCATTGATGCAGCAGTAATAGAAATATCCCATAGTGGTTTATTTAAATAAAAAAAAAATCACATTTAATCCCTGAACATGACAGGTGGTGAGGGTCTATTTTCTGACTCCTCACGCTCCTTTCTTTTAGCCCACACTGACAGGAGTGAGATTTAATAGTTTAATTGTTGTGATTTAGTGTAATTATTTTACATTTTAGAAGAAGTGGATGCTGATGCTCATTAACATGAAACAGAAGTAAATACAAGAATGAAATTGACCGTTCTTTGAACGCCTAATATAACAGCAGCCCATCCCTGCAGTTTTTAAATTCAAATACATAAACAAAATAAATCTGAGTAAAAGACAATTGAACTGCACTTTGTGTTTTGTATCCTGTTTTTGTGCAAGCACGTTAAGAAAAGATTTCCTAAGCCATCCTCTTCTTTGGCACTTGTTTATCTCTGCAGCTTAATGATAGTGTTCCTCATACTGGCCTGATTGCATAGTAGAGCTGCAGGAGATTGCACAGTCCTATCACTGCAAATGGCCAGTATTTGAACAGTGAGCATTTGGCATGCCTTTATTTTGGTGGAAGTCATAAAGGCTATCTTTAGATGAGTCAGGCACTTTCTTAGGTCTATTGTTTTCCTTACTGATCAAACAGTGCCATAGACTTTCAATATATATGCAGGTATCCAGGCCTTAAATAGGAAACATTCATTATTTTTATGGAACATATCTCCTGGGAAGTATTACAAACACAGCTGAATGAGCACGCAGCTGTAGATCGTGATTTATTTTTTTATGAGGTATCCGTGAGCTCACAATAGCACCACCAAGTGTTTGTTTAGCCTCTCATTTAAGCAGCAAAGGTCAGGTCAAGCAAACATCACATCCAGCTCATCATTGGTAGGAATGTCTGATGTTTTGTTTTGCATTTGGCTTTCATCCTCTGTCCCCAGCCTTTGCCTTCGATGACAGTTTTGTGTAACAGCCAGCTCCAACTCCCTGATCACGTCCTCGAAATTGTGATTATTTAACTGAATGTCAGAAAAAGTGAAATTGCTTCTGGCTGACTTATAGTTAATCAGAAGCATATGAAAAACAGGAGTAAGAAAGTTTTTTTTCCTTTTGTTTCTTTAGATACAGCAGGACATAAGAAGAAGAAAGTGAGGGGTCAAGAGAGGGGAAAGTGGAAGAGGGATAAAACAGAAGAAGCCCAGATAAGAGAAAGGGAGGTGTGAACATGTGATAAAGAAGAGGGAGAGTAAGAGTCTAAAGTGGAAGAAAAAAAAACCCAGGGATCAGAGGCCGGATGTTGAGCTCCTGGTTTTCTGTTGACACCCACACTTGTGTGCATTTGAAACACGTGGACACAAACATTATCATTTTGTGGCTCAATCATGGCCCAAACACTGTACGTATACACACAAGCTTTTTTTGCCCCTGCATGAGCCACCCCCCAGAGAGCTGCACTGTCCGTGCATTGTCATCTCTCTTGTCTAATAATCCCCTCCCCAGAGAGAAGCAATCTGTTTTAGATTTGAAAGAGAAAGGACCCTGCCGGTATCACGTACAATTAAGCAGCCGTCAGAATACGTTGGCGCAAGTTTGGAAGGAGAAGTGCTGCCACTGGGGGGTCGTCCCTTTCATCTGCCGCTTTTATAGAATAGAGATAATGGGATAGGAGGGTTAAAGGAATGGGAATGGATGTGAGTGGGGGGGAGAGGGGGTGGTTTAGGGGCAGAAGGAATGAATACATTTCTTCACCCATCCATCCTGCTCCACGGCTCAACTAATAGAAGCCAGCATGCATTTGTTTCAGCTCTTCTGCTCCCTTTCTTTCCCTCTCCCCTGGAGCGGGCAAACACATTCAGCCTCTGCCAGCACTCCCTCTCTCTGCCCGTGTGCATCAATGTGTGTGTGTGTGTGAGCTGGCTCAAGCACTTCTGTGTGGACTTGGCCATGTGCTACTGGTAGCCTCTGGTCCTGTCCGTCCTTACTTGAACAGCATGACTCCACCATGTGGACACTGGATCTTAGAACAGTTGTAATATGAAAGGTTGAATAACTTTGTTTATACTGACAAAGTCCAGCATTCCAAGTCATGCTTTGTGTTCCTGAAGTGCCCATGGCAAATTCAACAGAGTTTGGCTGGTATTTCTCGAACAAGTTGGGATTATGTCCTGACTGCATTCCTTCAGCTTTGGCTCGGACGTGGAATACAGGAAGCATTTGGAGGGTTACACTTCCTGGTTAGTGCTTTGTAAGCAAATTAACCGTTCATTGGATGTCATATTTTGGACCTTTAATAAGACATTAACATGGAATTTTTAACCATGGAGGGTGAAGTTAATTAAATTATAAATACTACATTACTACATGCTTTGTAAAGCCAGACACTGAGCCTGAGGCAACAGAATGCAGGGCTCCCTTGTGTACAAATTACAGGTTTCATTTCTGACTGTGAGCAAGTCTGACAGATTCTAACTGTGTGTTTGTGTGAGTGTGCGTGAGTCATTGACTCAAACAGTCACACTATATGATATCTAAATACCTACCAATAAGTGCCTTCAACCGTAGAGAGTAGAGCGCTAGTCCTGCACAGGTGCAATTGGACAAATATGTTTTTACGAGTGCGTATTGTGTTGTTGTGTCAAAGCCATGGAGGAGTTTGTTTATGGGGTTCAGGGTCACACAGGCCGGTTCTCAGGGTCTATGTTTGTCTATGGTTCCCAGAGAGTATGCCTACACATGCTCCACATTTTAGGGGTGTTTAGTTTCATGAGCTGGCAGCAGCAAAAGCAGCAGTAGCCCTGCACTTAGCTGGGTGTTTTGCTGACTGCGCTGCTACTGTCTCTCCCTGAGGAATCTCTGTGTTTTCATGCTCGCCTCTTGGAATGAAGTTGGTTTATTACTCTGCAACACTGCACCTCCAGATGTTGGATGCTTACTAATGATTTATTCAGATTTTACATTGATTGATTTGCTTATGAATAATCAAAAACCACTGTTTTAACTGTAATGAGCAGATTTAACACCATTTAGAATGTCAAACACAGTACAACTGTTTTTTCCTGTAAAGACAAACACAAGTCGTTTTTTTCTGCACC